AGCTCCACAGTCTCGTCCTCTACTACACAACTTTCTCCCACCGTTCACGGCAGTGTCTCGTTCAGCTTGCGGGCATGCATGGACCCGTGTTTGGAGGGGACCTGAACGCCCAAAGGGCTTACGTTAACCACCTTCTCAAAGGATTCGTCGAAATGATCAAAAAGTAGGCAGTCAACCTATGTTCCCATTTCGGCACACATGTGCACTGATTCTATACCATACTTCAAACCATTACAGCTTCATATCATCAACATCCCTGGACCCCTCGGCCTCCGAAGATTTCGGCCCCGAACTCCTCGGCATTGCACAGATCTCCCGCCGAATTCTCTCCAATTTCAAGCTCCCCGTCTCTGCCATCGTTCCCGGGTTCTTTCCGTTCTTGAGTGAAGCCGCAAATCTCACAGTGTCGTGTTTGAAAAAGTCGAACGAGGAAGAAGATGAGACGTGGGTTATGGAAGCGTGCGACGAGATGTTGGATACGTGGGCGGGGCTTGGTGCGTGCATCTGAATTAGTTGCAGGCATAGTGCCTTCTTCACTCTCTTTGAGGGACATTGAGGCTGACCAGTACCCCTTTCAAAATTTCCAGTTATGGATACGCAGATTTTCATCGAAGACCAGTCCTTAAGTGGACGACAGCAGCTCGGCGCCACTCCTGGAGCTGACGTGGATGTTGCGTCTCTCATGTCTTTCCTGGAGGGCCTTGGGTATCGCATTTTCGAAACTTACGTGGACGTCACGTTGGAACGGGCCAAGGCAGAGGCGGAATCCGTCGAAGAGATTGAGGACGGTGGCTTCAAGGACCAGGTTGGTGAATTCGGGAGACCTTTGTCTTGGTTCTTGCACTTTTGGTCTCTTCACAGATGTTTCAAAATTCTCGGGCGTTCTTCATGGCAACCACTGTTGACACACCGATCTTCTCGTCTAATTGAAAACCTTTGCTGAACTTGTTCACCATGCGCCATTCACTTCGCATCCGGTCTTATTCACAAATACAGGAAGTCTACGCAGACCAGCTGTTGTATATTTCCACGCTTGCGCGCATCGATCCGGTAAAATCATTGGGTCGGCTTCAGCAGCTCCTGGACGATCGGTTCAAGCGGCTCCACGAAGTATTCGAAAAAGGACCTGCGGCCGACACGGGTGAGTAAACTATATTCATGGAAAGCGTGCGGAAAAATGTGACAAGAATACCTCCTTTCTCACCGTGCCTTGGCTACATTGACTGACTTCCATGAATGCCTCGGAAACATACAAAGATTTATATCTGGCCTGCCTCCACGAGCACATCCACTGGCTTACCCTGATCGCAGGCCACATACTCGCGGATGCGGGCGAAGGGGAGAAGCCCGTCGTGCCGAAACCGCTGATGGTGATGTCGGTATGTTGACTTCCATATAGAAATCTTCAATTCTGCTGTTGCCTTCGTCTCTGTTGTCTTCAGCCGTGCTTATAACTACCAATGTTTTTCTGTATGATCCTGAAACATTAGCTGAATATTCCTGCCGGAGCGCCAAATCCCGTTGTTGTACTCGCGACCACCATCTTCCACATTCTCGATTTCTTGTCGGTTGAGGCTGATAGTCCCAAGGTATTGTTCGCCAAAGAGCTTGTCATTTTACCCTCCGACTTTCCCGCAGGGAAGGGTTGTGTGTGTGTGTGGAAGACTGGCCGGAAATCCTTGGCTGAGATTCACAGGGTGCATAGGAAATCACTGAATCAGATACGAACGCCGTAATCTCACATTATTCACCCAGCTCGCGCTCTGCAGTCCGCTGGTTGCCGAAACTTTGATCTGGTTCGTTGAGAGGTGGAGCCGAACGTATCTGTACATTGATGAGTCTGAATATGAGCGAATGAGGTACAGTGTGAGCAAATCGTGCATTTTATGTTCGAGTTGTTGTTGGACGTTAAGCCCAGGATTGATCGTTACTTGGAAGAATATCAGACACAGTATTGTCGAGTTGCAGTGCATGGCACGTCATGGGCTCACCTTAAACATTCAGGCTGCTCACCATCTGCGTCTTCCACAGCCCCACTCTATCAGAAGCCTTTGGGAAAGCCGGCGGGGGTCCGCGTGCCTTGGAATTTATCCTCGACAAACTTCATCGAAACTTTGTCTTATGGAACGCAGATGCGGATGTGTTGTCGACGGTTGGTTCTTATGATGTTTCATCAATTGTGTTTTTCCTCATCGGTGTTCGACTGTAAATCTGAAGGAAAAATCCGTTGCGATGATCATTCCCACCGTCATTGTCGAAATTGTAGATAGTCAAAGTGCTCAATGGGTTCGCGAAACATCGGGAATGTCGGGGTGCATTGCTTGCTTCAGGTAAGTTAGGATTCGTTGTCTTCAAACTAAATCTTTTGTGGTCGAACAACTCATCATGATTTCTTCCTGTTGAAATCTGCAACAGCGACATTCCAGTCTTTGGTTACCTACTTCTTGAACACCTTGAATCGTTTACCGCCCTCCATCCATAGGTAAGTTTGTGGTGAACTATTCGACTGAAATGTTCCATCCACTAGACGTGCCAAACGCGTTTTCTTTCTTGTTGGTTTTTGCATTGATTTTATTGACACCTTCACTTCTTGCTGGGCAGTTATCTTATCCAGACAATTACTACGATCACGACATCTGTTGGTTCTTCGGAGATGTATTTGCACTTCTTCACCAGCTTGTGTTCGACCATAGAGGTGAGGAGAAGGAGATTATGTTACCTTCGTCCAAGTTGTCGTTTTGTTTACTCATGTAAAGATGAGAGATGTCGCTGATATTGTTGGATTCTTTTCCCCCATTTTTCAATGTCGACCATGCAGAAACGATTAATGGCGATTTTACATAGGCCGGATTTCTTGCAAGTTTACCAGAAGCAGGAAATAAGCTCTGAGACCATCAACACCATGGAGGTATGTGTCCTCAAATCGTCTCGTCGTTCTTGTGGCAAAGGGAGGGCGCTAAGTCCGATTCCAATCGGGAGAGAACACCTATCTCGTCAACTGAATCCAAACATCCCCCTTTCTGAAATTCACAACCAACAACGGAAATGAAAAAGATGTACAGCGGTTTGGCGCTGGCGTCCGATCCGTTCAACTCCAAAGCCATTTTCCAAGTTTGCTCCCAGTACTTCGATTCTTTCGTAAAACTACTCGAAGTTTACCGCAACTCCCCGGAAGTCGAGATTTACATCTTGCAGTTCTTCAATCTGTTTGCAAAGTATCAGGTGGGTATTGACCGAGGTTCAGAGTTGTGAGAGTCTCACTTGTTTCTTGTGTTTAGATTATGCACACCGCTTGGGCTGATGACATCGCTCATTTTTTGCCTCGTTCGGCTTCAAAGTCTGTTGATCAATGGTCCGCGGAAGACTTCCAAAAGTTCCATTTGGCGGTGATCAATCTTCTGAAGACATACTCGAACAACAATGTTGGTTAGTACAAAGGCTTGGGCGTGTTTCTTTTTCAGTAGCTTGCTGTGTTGGACCTGGTTGAATGTTCGTGGAATTGTTTCCGGTCATCGCTCTCTCTTTGACGAGCAATCTGTGCATTTGGTGGCCGTAGGGAAACAACGACGGACGGGCGCGGCTGGTGAAGAAGAAGAGCTTTATGAAGATCTCCTGACCATGTTGGAGCTCCTTTCCAACATCATTTCCTCCCAATTCGAAAGTTTTGGTAAGTAAAACAACCCATAAAATCTTGTGCGTCAAGGAAAACTTCCTAATCATCTTGTCTGTTGTCCAAATCTTCAGATCGTGCTGGGATAGAGCTGATCCGAAAGAACAAACCAGCAGACGGGGTTGACGTCGCCGATGTTGTCTTCTTTGGTATAAACATGGTGATTCCATTGATTACGGATCAAATGCTCAAGGTAGGGAGGTGGGGACAGGAGGCTGAGAGTGGTTTGGCAATCTGGTCCACGAATCTGTGGCTCACTACATCTTCAACCACGCTTGCTCGCCCCCTCTGAATCGTAGTTCCCCAATTTGTGCCGTGATTACACGAGGCTGGTAAGCCTGCTCGTCGAGCATTTCCCGGAAAAATTGGGAACACTGCCCCAGGAGCTTCTCGCAAGTCTCGTCAAGTCACTTGAATTCGGAATGGATCAATATCCTTTTCAAAGAAGCGAAAAAGAGTTGGAGGAGCTTATCACTTTTGCACTGACGTGTTTTCGGACTGTTTGTTGATTCCTTGACTGCATTGAACTACTATTTATGATGTGAGCCGGAGTTCATTTGAAGCTGTTCGGGCGTTGGCAACGTTTAGCTGGACACAGCAAGTGGTGAAAGGTATGCTGCTGTTTTCCAAAGATATGAATCCCTTGCTATTCACCATCTTCATGTCCCCTCTGCTAATGACCGAACATTCGTCTTCGAACTTTGTGAAAGATCCAACATCTGTCGAGTTCCTTGCACCCCATTTGGATCACCTCCTACACCATACCCTCGACTGCCTGCTCTTGAAGGATTTCGCCTCACAGCTTATTGACATTTCTGGAGAGGCTTTGTTCGCGCTGATCCTCGCACGACGGGTAAGTTCTGTTCGCCAAATAGTAGTCAATTCCGTCATCTTTTCAAATTGAGCTAACCCGTCTGTTGCTCACACTCTGCTCGTTACAATCCTTAGGGCCAATATACTACTCTTATCACACAACTCATCGCGCAGCAGCAGCAAACACCAGCCATCCAAACAAAGCTTTCGAACGCGTTCACCGTCTTGAACAAAGTGGTCGAAGAGACTGCGCAAAGACAACATTCAATGTTGGTCAGTATGGGCGCACGAGGTGTACGGGGTGGGTTGGGTATGTATGGGCCACAGCACCTCAAGGCATATCGGGAGACTTTGTTGAGGTTTTTGGTGGATGTTCGCGGGTTTATGAGGATAAAGTAATTCAAGTGAATAGTGGATAGAATAAAAAAAGGAAAGAGGTCCATACCGAAAGAACAACGGGTTTTTCGCCAGCTCAGTAAATTGCAGGACTTAACTTTCTTGGAGCTCTTCTCAGTCACCGGCCTTAGCTCAGTTGGTAGTAGCGGCAGACTGTAGTGAGATATGTCTCTCAGGCATCTGTAGGTCCCTGGTTCGACTCCGGGAGGCCGGATTGACGCGAGAAAGGTAACACTTTTGGTCCTTCTCGAAAAATGTGTTGTCCCACGTCGCACAGTACGTTCAAATCCGGGGAGCTTTTTTACGCTTAACAAGGTAACGACGACTGGAAAACACAGCGCGGATGTTTCGATTCCTTTATACCTCCCCGATTTATAATGCTAAGTACTTACCATGAGAACATTTTTGGTGTTCAGATCGTTTGGTTTGACAAATGACTACTCAACAGCCCTCGGCCATCTTCATAACTTCAGAAGTCATTCTGCCTGGAGCGCAAACACTCTTTCTTCCCAACACACGAACCGTTCAAAGGTCGTCTCCGCCGAAATGGTACATCGTCCCCGCCGTCGTGTCTGGATGGCGCTGTATACCATCCTGGCATTGACCATCATCATTACCTTGTTGAGGAGGCATATGCGTCCTGATAAACCTACTGATGATAGGCCTTGGGCATGGGAAGAACGCGAGGAACTTCTCCGAACTGAAGATGATGCAAGTGCACGGGATAATTCACTGGATGGAGTCACAGTCATGGGCATCGATGAGCTGGACCAAAGTTGGGATGGGTCAGGTGAAAATCGGGATCATGAAGTAACGACCAGGATCGAAGATATTCATCTGCAAATGAACATTGAAAGACAGCCCGAAAAAGAAGACAGCGCCGCAAAAAGGAATGAAATTAGAGCAGCTTCACCACCGAACAATGAATTTCGTTCTATTGCTTCAAGTGGCAAACGTCTTGGGCTGAAGATGTGCATGTCGGAAAAATGTACTTCATGGCAAAACCAGGAGCTAAAGCACAACTTCACGGCCGCACGGCAGGTAAGCAATTTTCGCACTGACCGTATTTCAGTTTGATATTCCTACACTTTCTATCAGGAAAACATTTCTAATGATTTCAAGCGTATTCAGTTTTTCTCGAGGTATTACCGACATTCAAAACCAGCTTCGATTGCGTATGCTCCTGCCATCCATATGGTTTCGACCTGCTACACCTTGACATCACCCTATACTATCGCCGACACTCCACCACCACCACTGGTCGCAGAAAATCTAACACGCCTATGGAGCCTTCGACATGTTCTCCTTTTCCAAGCAGCCAACCCAGATGCTGGCATCGCAGTTGTTGGCATGCGTCATTCTTTCCCGTTTCTTGCTGAGCAGTTACCTTTGCCGATGTATCTCTCCCAACGACTTTGCACTTCCTTGATAAACAACAGTCGCGACAGCTACCGCGCTGAAGGTGAACGGTGCCTCAAGCTTCTCCGGTCAGTCCCATCAGGACCTAATTCCCTCACTGCAACGAATGTTGAGCTCCTTCCAACCGATTTCATCCGCTTCCACATGCCTGTGCTCGTTTCATTCCCGAACGCTATCATCACTCCATATGGCCATGTTCTGGGACATGGGTACATCTGGGCAACGTCATCAACTTGCGATCCGGATAAGCTCGCGCAACCTCCAAACAACAACAACGTACCTCAATACGATCGAGTTTTTTCCATCGCGCAATTTTGGGGGGATCAAGTGTACCACGGGATCATCGAGTGCCTTCCACGACTCATGGCTGCGTACGCCACCCTACTGCGCTCACCAGAGGTCAAAATACACATCCCGGAAGGATACATGATGCCAAGGTGGTTGAAGTTGTTGGGGTTCCCTTCCAAGCAACTTGTTGCCGGGTGGGTCGGAGCACGAGTAGCCTTTGCGCCTGAACCAAGTTTACACTGTGGAGCGCCGGGGATGTGGCAGGTCAATGAATTCAGGAGGGTGCTCAGGGCCCGATTGGAGGCGGCAGGTGCGGTAATCCCGTTGCAACCTGAGGAGGAAAAGGGCATTGTGATTATTCGGAGGCGGAGGACGAGGGTGGTGCCCAATCGCCAGTTTAATGACTTGGTAAAAGCTGTGGGGAGAGTAGCGAAGGGACTGCGGGTGACTGTTTTCGATGAAATGGACTTGAGGGAAATGTCTTTGGAGAAGCACCTTGCGCCTTTTTACCACGCACAACTTGTTATTGGGGTTCATGGCGCAGGGTTAAGCAACATTGCGGCGATGGAGGATGGAGGAGCCGTACTGGAGATCATGGTCGAGGAAAATATCAACATTTGCTACTCGCAACTGGCACGCATGTTGGGACTCAAGTGGATGGGGTGGATGCCGGAAACGGGAAGGTCTGATTTCTGGGGAATCGTGGAAATTTATCGGATGTATATTGACGAGTTTTCGAGGATTGTTGCAGACACGCTTGAATCAACCCGAAGGAAATGAAGGCATCCCGTCTTTCGGACTCTACCCATAAGCTAAAAGAATTTCCCAACACCAACTTCATAATCAAAAGGGGGAGCTGAGGAGGAAAAATGAATGAAAACTCCTCGAAGTCGCATTAAACACAAACTCTCTTTCATCCAGGAATGGGATTACCCAGGGAAAAGGCAGGCGAAAAGGGGAAGAAAGATGTGTTTTCTTTCTAAAAAAGCTAGATTATATATATGTTAGCACATGCATGAATAAGCGGCGGTGGCTCAGTCGGTAGAGCGTGGGTCTCATAATCCCAAGGTCGTGAGTTCGATCCTCACCCGGCGCAGTGGGTTTATGCAACATATTGATTTTGCCTCTATATTCCTTCCATTTAATTAGAGATCCTTTCATGGATGGCTATGAGTACGCTTTTGCACTATTTGGTTGTTGATGATTTCTTCTGCAATGTTTAGTTGTTCTCCCCTCGCCTCCAGTTCTGTATCTCGACCGTGCTCACTTCTGGGTCGTTGCTTGTTTTCGAGATTCCGCAAAGGAGCAAGTCCCCTGAAATGGAAATCAAATCACGACACCATCCATCCTCTCACACGTATTCACTGAGGACGTCCATGGTGAGTTTCGGATTTTTGAATCTTGACTTTTCTTTCTCTTTTTCTGGGTGGATCAGTTCAAGAGCGCAGCAGTTTTTCGTGAACGAATCACGGAGAGAGAGCAGAAAACTCAAACAGGAAATATGGCGAAGGATTCGAAATCTCTGGAAGATCCCACAGAATTCAGATCGGGAGTATCAGGACAGGAATGGTTGTCTCAGAACTATACTAACTCTCGTACCTAGTGTACCTGGCCTACAATTGATTCGGAATTTTGCTCACTTGTTTCGTATACATCATATTGGACTCGAGTTAACCACAGCGCCGCATGTGCCAAATCCACCTTTGTTATTATTCTGTTCTCACTTTCCCAGCGTCATTTCTCACTTACTTTTTCTCCACTTCTCGATAAAATTCGATGTCCGTCAACACAACTACTCTGACATGTACTCCCCTGTAACACCCGGACACCCCGATGTCAAAATCCACAACGGCAGCGACCGCAGCGGCGCTGACGTCCTCTCTTACTACCATCACAACAACAGGGACCATCCCCCTCCCGCACCACCCCTCCAGATTTCTCAGTACCCTCCGATGGCTTCGCGGCGGCGAGTCTCCCTTCTCCAAAGATGAAGATACCACCTCACAGTCCACACCATCATCCAAACCCCACACGGGACCCACCCCCTCACCTTCACCATCATCCTCAACGCCATCAAACACCTCGCTCCACCCACCCTCACAACCCCGAAAACTCGGAGTCATCCCAAGTGGTCCAAG